TGAGTTCAAGCCCCACATTAGGCGTAGAGATTACCAAAAGAATAAATAAACTAAAAAAAAAAAAAAAGCAACAAAACCCTCTAGAAAATGCAAACTAATCTATAAGGAGAGCAAGCAGGTCAAAGACCCCCTGCTTGGAAGGGAGTGGGCAGAGAGGGGTAGGAAGGATGCATTATCAAGGGGCACATGGAAACTTTTGGTTTCATGGAAGTCAAAATGTACCATACTGTACACTTTAAATTTTAACACTTGTTGAGGCACCGGGCTGGCTCAGTTGGGTAAGTGTCTTGACTCTTGGTTTCCGCTCAGGTCATGATCTCATCATGGGTTGTGAGATTGAGATCGAGCCCCCTTTGGGCTTTGCGCTCAGTGGGGCGTCTGCTTGAAGATTCTCTCCCTCTGCCTCTCCTCCCACGTGCGCACACATGCAAGCACACACAAGCACCCACTCTCTCTCTAAAAAATTTAAATAAATAAATCTAAAAAAAAATGGTAACACTTGTTGTGTCCACTTTATTATTTCAGTTGTACTACAATGAAAGATTATACAGTTCTGGGGGTGCCTGGGTGACTCAGTTGGTTAAGCGCCTGACTCTTGATTTCGGCTCAGGTCATGATCTCAGGGTCGTGAGAATGAGCCCAAAGTGGAGTTCCACGCTCAGCTCCAAGTCTGCTTGAGATTCTCTCTCTCTCTCTCCCTCTGCCCCTCCCCATGCTTTCTCTCTTGAAATAAATAAATCTTTTTTTTTTAAAGATTTTATTTATTTATTTGAGAGAGAGAGAATGAGAGATAGAGAGCACGAGAGGGAAGAGGGTCAGAGGGAGAAGCAGACTCCCTGCTGAGCAGGGAGCCCGATGTGGGACTCGATCCCGGGACTCCAGGATCATGACCTGAGCCGAAGGCAGTCGCTTAACCAACTGAGCCACCCAGGCGCCCTAAATCTTTTTTTTTTTTAAAGATTTTATTTATTTATTTGACAGAGAGAGAGACAGCGAGAGAGGGAACACAAGCAGGGGGAGGGGGAGAGGGAGAAGCAGGCTTCCCGCGGAGCAGGGACCCCGATAAGGGGCTCGATCCCAGGACCCTGGGATCATGACCTGAGCTGAAGGCAAACACTTAACGACTGAGCCACCCAGGTGCCCCGAAATAAATAAATCTTTAAAAAAAAAAAATAAAGAAATAGGGACGCCTGGGTGGCTCAGTCAGTTAAGTGGCTGCCTCCGGTTCAGGTCATGGTCCCAGGGTCCTGGGATCGAGTCCCACATTGGACTTCTTGTTCAGAGGGGAGCCTGTGTCTCCCTCTGCCTGCCACTCCCTCTGCTTGTGCTCTCTCTCTCTCTCTCTGACAAATAAATCATAAAGTCTTTTTTTAAAAAATTAAAAAATAAAAATACAATTTTTTTTTTTTAAAGATTTTATTTATTTGATAGAGAAAGACACAGCAAGAGAGGGAACACAAGCAGGGGGAGTGGGAGAAGGAGAAGCAGGCTTCCTGCGGAGCGGGGAGCCCAATGCAGGGCTCGATCCCAGGACCCTGGGATCATGACCTGAGCCAAAGGCAGACGCTTAATGACTGAGCCACCCAGGCGCCCCTAAAAATACAATTTTAAAAAATTAAAATTGAAGTATACAGTTGGGAAAGGAAATACTGGTTTTCGTTGATGATTGGCAACTATCTCTAAGAGGAAGAAGTTTGTTTTCCTTTCCTCTAGAACCTAGAGAAAAACCTCTGTGCTGGGTTGATATCAACCGCTGGTATCAGCTGCTGGAGATTTTGGATTTTCAAGACAAAGACTCAGCAGAGGCTGACATTTGCTGTAAACTCATATTGAAAGCACCTTATCTGAGCTCAAATATTCTCCCTTCTGGGACAGAAAAGAAGTCCCCAAGTGTTGGTCCCAGAGATCCTGTGGATCACAGGTATCTTTCCTACACAACTCCCTTCAGTGCTCTGAACATCCTGGCAAGGCGGGTTTAGGCTTGAGGAGGCTGATGCCCAGAGAGGTGAAGGTACGTGCAGTTGGCTGGGCTTCATTCAGTCTGATGAGTACTTCCGAACCCACTTCCCATCTGTCCCTCTCAATCCTGGAAGAGGGCAAAGCCTGGGTCCTCTCTGCTCCCCTCCCCACCCATTTTGCACACGAAGAAACAGGTCCAGGGAGGTCCTGATTGGTCTTGTGCTAGGAGTGGGCTGAGGGTCTCTCCCACTGCAGGACACCTGCCATCAGAGCCCTGTGATGGTCTCCTGTGTCGAATGGTATCTTTGGCAGGGGCTTGCTCAAGAATTCCAGTGAATCTCCAGCCCCCAGGATGGCTGTAGCATCACAGACAAGCCAGGCCTCCTGGCTCACACCCCGTCTCCTCCAGTTTCTAGCTCTTTACCTTAGATCACTTAACCTCTCCCTGTTTCAGCTACTCACCTATAAGTGGGAAGAGAATTAAAGGAGTGTAAAGCCATAAGAACAGTACCTAGCCCACTGAAAAGCTATAGGAGTACTCTCCAAATAAATAAAGGGCTTCAGCTCTGCCTAGTTCTGAAGGTTTGGGCTCCTGCCATTCCCATCCAGGGGGCCCTGGGTGGGGGCCCCAGTGACGCTGAAGAGTGCCTGCCCTGTGCCCCCCCCCCCACACACACACAGCAGGCACTTTCCAGACCTTGTCATGCTCTCTCCAGCAGGATAAGGGGAGGCTTGGTGTACCTAGTTCCCAAGATGAAGGAACAGGCCCCGAGAGGACACCGCCAGTGGGTGACAGGGCTGCGACCAGGCCGCGCCTATCTGCCTCCAAGACGGGGCCTGGGCCAGGCCCACCTGCTGCCTCTTGGGTCTGGAACTCAGGCTGGAGGCCACCTGGCGGGGGCTCTCTGCCCACCAAACTTCACGGCACAAGCCCCCTCCTCCCAGAGTGTCCCTGCTTGTAGAGTAGCCGGTGGCCGAGAGGCCCTGACAGGAGGGCCTGTGAAGGGGCTGTGGACACCTGCCTGGCAACAAGGCCAGCTCTCTTCTCTTGAGCGGGTTTATGCTTGAGCTCAGCTGCTGCAGCGTCTGCCTCCGTCTGAGAGGCGGGGAGATTGAGACCAGCTGCTGCTGCCTGAATTCTCCCAGAGCTCGCCTGGTGACACCCCGCTCAGGTCGTCGTAAAAATTCTGGTAGGAGTCTCTCCCAGCAGCAACATTCAAGGTTTGTGGGCTGGACTGGGGCCAGTGGTGGGCAGGGAGCGAGGGGAGCAGGAGGGCTGGGGGGAGCAGGAGGGCTGGGGGGAGCAGGAGGGCTGGGGGGAGCAGAGAGCTTGGCATTTCTCCAGCAAAGAATCACAGGAGAACACTGCCTCTTGCTTGTGACGGACTTATCAGCCTGCCCAGTGCAAGGCTGGTTTCCCCATCTTTCTCCTCTCTGCCGGCCTCTTTCATCTCCCACCCTGCTTTGCCTTGCTCCGGGAAGCCTGAGCCCCTTGCTCCGGAGTGAGGGCCCTGGAAACACTTCTGTGGCTCCCAAGCCAATGGGCAGGCCCATGTCTTTAAAACGAGGAGGATTGAGAGGGTCAGGACCCCAGGATGGAGGGTTGAGAGCTGGAAGGAACTATGGAGAGCCAGCCCTATTTAATACAGAGGAAAAAAGAGAGACCCAAGCCCGGGAGAGAGGAGGCCATGGCCAGGTCCCAACAGCAAGTCAGGAGCAGAGAGCTGGTGTTATTCACACCCTTCCCACCACGTCCAGATAAGGGTTCCTCCAAAAGCAGCCAGGCTAGCAGGGGCCTGCCCTCGGGGTGGGCAGGCAGCAGCCGAGAGGGAGCTCTTTTCCTTCCCACTTCCTGCCTGGTCCTGGAACCCAGCACCATGCTGTCCTCACCCTTCTTGGCCATCTCCTTTCTGGCCCAAGAGCTGTTGTATATCTGGCCAGACTGGAATCCATGCTGACTCATGGTCCCCTGTGGGCCTAAATGTGGAGGAAGGTCAGCTGGTGGGCCTGGGTACGTAGGCCCAGGGGTGAGCCTCACCTTCTCTTTGGCCCAGGGGGCTTCTCTCTGCCACCAGGTCTCTCCTCATCCATGAGGATCCCCACTGTCCCAGACCTGACCTGGCTGTGCATGGGAGACTTAGGCTGCTGGCTTCCCCACTCTGGGACTCAGTTTCCCCCCTCCCCCCCCCCCCCCCCCCCCGCCCCAGGCATCTTTAAATTCCTTCCTTGTCTTTGCCCTGCCCAACTCCTAGTTGGGCTGTACTCCAGCTCTCCACACAAGGCTGGGGTGGGAGGGGCAACCATGGCTTTAGGCTTCTGATCTGGAGCCTGCCCTGATGGTCCTTAGGGGGATGGGAGATAGCCCCCTGCTGGGTACAGGCTACTCCTGGGGCAGCCCTAGGAATGCCCCACCCCCAACCACCCACTGCTGGATGTGCCCCCCTCCTGCGTGCTTTTTTGGGGTCCACCAGAGGGAAGGACTGTGCACGTGGGCCTTCAGGGCCTGGAGGGAACACACAAGCTCTTTGTCTCTGGTCGGAGGTAACTCCTAACCCCGTGGAGTTGCCCACTAAGTACAGGGAGCCTGGGGGGTGGGTACTAGGGGTGGTGGGCAGCACTCGCCCTGTGGGCGATGAAACTTGCCTCCTGTCAGCACAGTCTTGTCCCCAGTCCAAGAGGTCCTGGGCTCAGGCACAAGATTACTGTGGGGCTCCATTCTGAGCTTTGCCCCTCTGTGGCCTCCCAACCTGCTCCTCTCCAAGCCCCACCCAGATGTGAAGGTCAGGTCCCTGGCGGCCTCCTCTAACTCCCCAGCCCACAGGTGGACCCGACCGCACACCTTGGTGTCTGCCCAGGGAGCACCTGAAGGAAGTCAGTGTGAGCTTGGACCCTCCCTTTCAGGTGGGCAGCATCCTTGAATCTTTGGCCACCCCTCCTCCCCACCCCAAAAGCAGGGCTGGCGCTCAGTGGCCCTGAGGTCCACGGTGCAGAAAGGCTAAGGCAGAGCAGGACATCACCGTTTACTGTGGGATCACTTCAAGCTGAGGGAAGCCTGACAGTCCATCCTGGGTTGACCATCTGGACTCTGGTGAACCCCTTCTCCTTCCATCCCCTTCATCCCAGGCTGCGCATTTACACTGGATTTCTGGGGGCCTGGAGGGTCTCCATCATCCCCCATGCCATGTGCCTAGGAGCATCGGCACTCAGGTAGGAGCCAGGGTGGGTGGCGGGTCACCTCGTGCAGCAGGCCTGAGGCTCAGACCCTGGCCCAGCAGCTGCAGAGCCCCAGGTGGAGGCAGCAGAGGTGGCCCCAGCCACACTGCCCTCAGGCTCAAGGTCCAGGCCCTCATAGATGGTGGGGAGTGAGGTGCGCTGGCTGAGCCGCCGGCGCAGGCCGACCAGCAGGGGCTGGGGCAAGGAGGCCACGTCCACATTGTTGCCCAGGTCCACCCAGGCCAGCGCGGGGAACTTGGCGGAGTCCTTGACGGCCTCAGTGAGCTCGCGAGCAGTGGCCCTCGTCAGCCTGTTGCCGTTGAGCAGGAGCTGGGTGAGGTGGGGCAGCGTCCAGAGGCTGGGCAGCATCAGGCGCAGCAGCTCGTCGCTCAGCCCCGTGAAGCTCAGATCCAGCACCGTGAGCCCGGCTCCCTGGCTTCCCAGGTAGCGCATGATGTGCCGCACATCCCTCGAGGACAGCGGAATCCCCGAAAGGTTCACGGTCTCCCCCGCCAGCTGAGTCATCTGGAGGCTGCTCTTGAGGCTGTGGGAAGGTGGCAGGCAAGGATGGACTGAGCAAGGGTCCATGGCCCAGGCAGGTCCCCACTGGCTGCAGATAGTGACCCACTGGGGCAGCCCATGGTGGTAGCGGGACCCGGGCCCTACAGTCAGGCCACGCTACTTTCTAGATGGGTGGCCATGGGCAATTCTTGGAAACTCTCTGAGCCTCAGTTTCTCCTTTGGTGAAAAGGGGACCTGGCTGTTGTGAGGAATAAATATACATGTGTTAAGCTTCCCCGAGCCATTGTTATAAAAACCTACTGCATGCCTGCGTGGCCACACCTGTTATATCTAGAGTAAGAATGATTATCCCATTCTGCGGGGGAGCAAATGACGCTCAGAGAGGTGACAGGACTCTTGCATGGTCCCACACCGCTAAGAAGGAGGCCAGGTCTTCAAATTGAGGTGCTCTGACTCCTGAGCCCACACCTCCTCTAAGGTTGACCCTTTGTGGGTACAGACAGATATTCCTATGAGGGTGACAGGGTATCAGGCTGGTACCCCCGGCTTTGGGGGCTAGAGAGGGGACAGGCCCAGAGTAGCAAGAGGGGAGGTGTTGGGAGGTGTAGGGGCGGGCTGCTGGGAGGTGAAGGGCCCCCTGTGTTCTAAACTGGAAAGGAAGTTTAGAGACTGAGAAGGGTCCCCCACCACCCCTGGAGCCCCCTCTAGGTCTCTCCTGTCATTTGAACATGGCCCTACTATGCAGATAGGCAGTGGGACCACCTCCAGGGCCCTCACCCACCGTGGCATGGAACAACCCCATGAGCTCTGGGCTCATCGTGAACCACCAGGCTCAAAGGATGGGGAAGCAAGCAGGGGAGAGCCCTGAGGCTGTGGTTCTGGGTCCCTGGACCTGGGTGTCTGCAGCCAGTCCCCAGGCTGTCTGGCCCCGGAGCTGTGATGGAGTGACTGGGAGGGGGACCCCACGGCAGAACAAGCTCTCAGGCTGGCTGTGGAGGCCTTGGCTTCAGGCAGCCTGGCAAAGGCTTTTCAAAGAGCTGTAGGAAAATCAGGGCAGGGTGTGGCCTTGAGCAAGCCACTTTGCCTCTCCCAACCTCAGTTTCCTTTCCTGTAAAATTGGAATCATGACCCAGAATCTGTCTCCCTCCATAGCCTGTTGTGAGGATTCAGCAGACGTCTGCTGAGGTCATCTTGGCCCGGGTCAGGGCCAGGCCCTGTGACAGGCCAGGGATTGAGGGGCGAGCGAATGGCAGGAAGCAGGTCATACAGAGGGTGCAGCTTGGCTTGGGGAGCATTCCAGGGCTGTGATGCAGACAAGAGTGAGGGGCTCACAGGGTAGGGTTTCAGGCACCAGCCTCTTGCTGAACTGCCTCTCCATGCCGGCCTAGGAAGGGACCCTCAGGGCCCACGAGGTGGGGATGTGGCTATAGGTTCCCCTTACCAGCTCTGGGTCTTCCTCCCGGGCAGGCTGGACCCTCGCTGCCGCTTGGAGTGAGGGGTGAGGTGGTAGATTAGCTGCCGGCAGATCTTATCCGAGGACTTCCAGAGCTCATAGTCCTGTTGAGGGGCGGCGTTGTCAGGGTGAGGCTGAGCCCCTCCCATCCCCCTCTGGGCCTTGGGGATCCAAGTGTGTGCCCCAGCACATGATTCATCATGGATCACTGAGCTGTCCACTAGCCTCCCCCTCTCACCCCCCACCCTGGCTGTAGCCTGGCACAGAGCCAGGGGAGGCTGCCCGCTGGTAACTGGACAGGCTGGTCTGAGGCCCGCAGTGCCCGGCGGGAGGAGGCCTAGACAATGGGCCCTTGTTCCCTGTCCTCAGGCCCAAGGCCAGTGTCCTGGGCTATCAGCCGGCTCCCTGCCCACCCTCAGCGCTCCCCGGGGACTCGCCACAGGGGGAGGCAGAACCAGGCCCCTCCAGGGACCCCTGCTCCACTGACACCACCCCCAGGGAATAGAAACAAGCCAGGTCAGCATGCTCTTCTTCCTCTCACTCTCAAAGCTAGACTGTGTGCCTGTAGGGCCTGGGTCTGGGCTGCCAGGGCTGGGAGGGTTCATGCATTACAGCACCGCCCCCTGGCTCTCTCCTGGGCCTAAACGGGCCCTCATAGAGACCTAGCTCGGGTGGAAAAACAGGGATGCTCTGCTTTCCACAAAGCTGGCCCTGTGCACCCTCCACTACCCAGCACATTCTTTATCCTATTCCTCTGTTAACAGTGCGTACACACAGTGGCAACAAGCCCTGGCAGTCACTGTGTGGCTCTAGGCTAGCCTCAGGATCCTTGGTGATGTCTGCATATAAGTGTAGGAGTTCGGGGCTGGCCGGTCCCATAGTGGGCACCACTGTTTCACACAGGGACTCACTGTGATGAAGGGATGGGGGCTGGTGGCTGTGTCAGGAGCACAGCACCTTCAAGGCTCATGGCAGGATGTCTGCAGGTGCCACCAGAGCGGAGTTGGGAGCAGATGTGGTGGCTTGGGAGGGGCAGGGGGGAATGGAGGCCCCAGGTGACAGACGCCAATTCAACATGAGGGATTTGCTGGTGGCTCACAGTGCTATGGGAAGCAGTGAGCACTTGTCCCCAAGTGTATCCATACAGGATGGGGACATGTGGACAGGGTTTCCAGCTGAGGGCAGCTCTCTTCTGGCCCCAGGAACTCAGAGGCTGGGAGTTTGGTTCTGTCAGCAGATTTGTCAGAACATTCTATGTCCCTCAGGGTCCCTGTGTGACTTCCTGCCTGGATCCTGGGTCCTGGCGCAGAGGAAGCAGGTCTACCCAACACATGACTTTTCAGGTGTAGGAAAGCGCAGCTCACATGTGTTCCTAGTACACTGAAGCTGGCATCAGGTCCCAGTGAGGGACATTGATCTGCTCAAGGCCTCGAAGCAAACCAGATGAGGATGAGGCTCCTAGCCCCCAGCGCTCCTGGTCCCTGTCAGCTGCACTGCCCAGCCTGAGGTCCATGTCTACTGGCCTCACCGTCTTGGGGCACTGCAGGTCCCGGGCCAGGTTCACAAGCAGGTCATGGGAGATGGGGTCCACCAGATTGAGGAAGGCCACATTCCTGTAGAGGATGTCTGTGAGGAGGGTCCCCTCGAGGCCCAGGTCCTGTGGGTGGTGAGGAGAGTTGAGTGACCCAGGAGTTGGGCTCTCCCTTCTCCAGGCCCCCATCCAAGCCAGCCCTTCATGTCTGTTCCCCTCTCTCTGTCTCCCTCCCTGATGCTTGCTGGGGTCTCTTCCCAGGCGGCAATGGGCCAACTGTCCAGAGGCAAGTGGACCCTTTGGATGAGGAGAGTGTCAGTGCGTCAGGGGCTTCAGGGAGGTGATATGTAGGTTCCCAAACCCTTAGACTGGTTCCCTGGAGGCAAAACATGGTACTATGACACCTGCCTCCTCTGGGGTTGGGCTTATCTGGAAGGTTCTTTGGGGGGCTCCTCTGACGATTCCCCCGCACCATGCTGCTGTCCTCCAGCATTCCTTCGGGGCCATTTGCCTCTCTTCCATCTATTCCTGAGCTCTCCTGAGGTCTGGCCACCATCTGTTTGCTGACAGGTCCAGACCCCTTTTGTGAGCATGGGCCCCCTTCTCAGCTCAGATGTCCCAAAGGCAGCTTAGACTGGGTGTGTTCACCTCCTGCCCTGAAGCAGGCCTCACCTCCTGTGCCGCAACGCAGTAAAGGGCGTCGCCATCCCCATCTTCCCAGCATTCAGGTAGGAGCCCAGAACCACCCTGCACTCCTCCTTCACCCCTCTCTGCACAGCTCTCCCTCCCCACTGCCCGAGGATTTGCAGGCCTCTCTCCCTAACATCCTCCTCCGGGGCCTGTCAGCCTCCCAACACCCATCTAGTCTCACCCTTGGGCTGCCGGAGCCAGCTCCAGGAAACACACACCTAACCTTGACCCTTAACTGCTTTGGTGGAGACAAAATGCTCTCGTTGTGTAACACTAGGGACTCCTGCGCGCCCCAGCATTCCCGCCCTCCCCAGCCCACCAGCCTCTTTCTCCAGCCTCCAGGTCTCCCACCCCTCACAGAGACCTCATCATTGGGCCCCTGGCCTGCCCTTCAGTCCTTGGGCTTCTCCTTCTGTTATTCCCACAGGCCTGCTGTGGCACTGAACATCCTTTTAGAGATTATACTGACAAGCTGATGGGGCAGGCACAGCCAGGAGGGGCCTCCAGACCCCTGGGCCCTCCTCAAGCCAGAGAGTGACGCGGTCTGTGCACAAGCCCCCTGTGCACAGGAAGACAAGCGGGAATGCCCAAGGGCCATAACTGCAGAGTCCCTGTGGCTTGTGGGGCAGGACAGCCCCCTCTTTGGTTGGGAATCCTGACCTCTGAGACACAAGGGGGCACAGAGCTGGTTTCCCAGCTTAAAAAAAAAAAAAAAAATGTCCTTCTGGTGCGTTGGGCTCCAGATACCATCCCAGACAAAGATCTGTACCTCTGGATCAGATCAGCTAGATTCGGTGCTGCTTTGCTGTTTGCATTTTAAACACCATTCAAGTTACAAATGCCAGCTAGGGAGGATCCAGAAGAGAGGGCTAGCTGGTGAACCTGGGCTGACCCAGACAGGGCCCCAGACACACAGCCAGCCTTCTGCTGGTGTGGACAGCTCCTCTTAAAGGGCCAGCCCCACCTTTCCAGCCCAGTCGGCCTAGAGAAAGGAAACCCAGTGCAGCAGGGAGTGGGGCTGGGAGACTAGAGGCTGGGCTCCAGCCTCCGCTGCCCCCCAATCTGCTCTGTGGTCATAGGCTCACCACTGTTCTCCAAGCCTCAGTTTCCCTTCTCTAATCATCCACCTGCAGACCAAACACCTGCATGGCTGATTTCAGATTCCTGGATGGGGCAGGTTGTGGTGGCAGCTGCTGTGGGGGATGGGGACATGGCCAGAGAGGGAAGTGGCTTGCCCAGTGGTGATGCTGGGACCAGAACCCATGTCTCCTAGGGCACCCCAGGCTGGCTCCGGTACCTGGTGTGTGTGAGACCAGAGGCGCACTCCCCCTGCCCCCCACCCAGTCCAGATGTGGTGTTGTGATGTACAGATGCCAGGTGTATGTACTCAGTGGGCGTGATCTGCCTGTTAGGAGGTTGGGTGATGTGAGTTGTAGCTGCTATAGGGTCATGGTGGGTTGCACTGGCTGACCAGCTGGGCTGTCACTTCCCAGGGTCCTCTCTCCAGGCTCCTGTGCAGTGCCTCCCTTCACCCTGGAGGAGCCGGGAGCTGTCCGCTTCCCCTTGCCCCGCAGTGTAAGATGTCGTCCCCTCCCACCACTCCCTTGCCGCTCCTCCCAGCTCTACTCTTCTCCCGCCAAGGCCTGAATCTGGGTCCTTAGCTCCAGGCTTGGGGCACCCTCAACAGACACAACTGACCTCTCAAACCCCAGATAGGTGGACACCGTCACGGCCCCCCACCCCACCCCGCAGCCTCGCGGGCCTTCGCTCTAGCCGATTGCTTCCCGTCCCTCGTCCTCTCGCCCAGACAAGCCCCTTCAGCCAGTCGTACCCTCCCCTCGGAACCCTGCCGGCCCGCGCGCCCGTCCGGGGCCAGCCCTGCCTCCCGCGCCCCGGGCCAGCTCCGCAGCACCTCCCGGCCCCTTCCAGGCCCGCAGCCCGCGGCGCCCGGCCCCTCCCCGGCCTCCAGCCCCGGGCCGGCCCGCTCCTTCTCTCGCCTGGCGCAGGAGGCGCAGCAGCTGCCGGGCGCGCTCCGGCCGCTGCTCGCGGAGCGTGGACTGGATCTCGCGGAGCCAGCGCACCCGGCGCTCATAGGGCGCGGGCCCGCACCCCGCCGCCGCCCCGGCTTCCGAGCCCGCGTCGGGTCGGGTCCGCCGGCCCAGCCGCGCCCCCATGGCCGCTGAGCTGCGGGCGCAGAGCTGGAAGGGAGACCCGGCCGTCTGCGCCCCGCCCCCGGCCCCGCCCCGCCCCGGCCGGGGCTGCACTGGGTGGGGGGGGGCGCGGGATCTGGGGGTGCGCGCCCGGGCGGGGCCGCCGCGGTGGAAGCGGGGGGTTCCTGCTGGGGTCCGCGGAGCTCCCAAACACTCGGTTCGGGAGGTCTCGCTAGTAGAGGCCCCGGCCCGCGCTAGACTGGGCTCTGGAGCTCTGTCGCCAGGGCCTGGAGCCGTTGGGGGAGGCGCTGAGCCAGGGCCGGACGAGGTGGCGCTAGGCCATGGCCTCCGGCTGACCGTGGAACAGTGGCTTTGGTGGTGCAAAGAGCACTGGACTCGGAGTCAGGCTGGGCTGTGTGGGGATTCCGGTGCCAGCCTTAGGCAGTGCCATCACCTGCTTTCAGGAATTTCCCCGGCAGTGGGCAATTAATTGTAGTATCTGACTCATCCATCTGCATAGACGGTCCTGCTGGACAAATATTTACTGCCCCTTCCTGCCTGGCTGGGGGGCAGACCCGGTCAGGCTAGGTGGTGCGGGCTCCCTCTGACCCAGGCCTGGGAGATTTTTGGGATGAAGAGTGCTGGTTAACCCTTAGGGCTAGCTCTGGGCAGGCTGGCCAGCTGGTCAGTTGCACCTGTCCCAGGCTTCGTTCTTCCAGCTTGACAGGGGTGGGGAGGCAGTGTGAGGAGGGGGAGCCCTGGCTCCTCCAGGGATCAAGTTTGAGCTAGGGACCCACCCCAGGTCTAGGGGCCTACTTGGGGGCCTGCTGTCCCCTGCAGGCCCCCCTCCCAGCTCTGGGCCCTCACATTCCCTGGGTAGGGGACATTTGGAGCACTAGGCTCCAGATCCCCAACTCCCACAGCAAAGAGGGTGTGTCCAGCCTATGAGGACAGTGGGCCTGGGCACAGGTGCAGGAGGGGTGAGCACAGACAGGGTGTGTGTGGGGTAAGGGGTGGCCATCTGAGGGCACATGTAAGTGAGGGCAGACTCAGGTTCCTCTTTTGGGTTAAGTATTGCCCTCCAGGAGTGTGTCTGGGGACAGGGTGCTGGGCACTGTGGTCCCCCAGGGCTGAGCCCCTGATACAAGACAGAGGACAGCTTAGTGTCCCTGTCACTTGACCATCCACTGAACCCCGACCCCTGTTGCCTGCTTGGACACCCCTGTTGGGACTCCTGGGGCCTTTCTATCCTGGGCCCCCTTCTCCCCTGCCATCTGCCAGCTGGACCCAGCAGCCTCCACTACCCCCCTCTGTAGTCAGCATTGTCCTGGGGCCACCTTGGCACCACAGGTTTCCTTCCTGGCAAACCTGCATGACCGCTTGGCCTGCCTTCCTCTAGGGCCCAGGCGCTGTCGCTGACCTGACGTGGTGGTGACAGGACCAGAGACTTACGCAGCAGCCCCTTGCCCCAGGGACCTCTCAGACCCCTGTCCAGAGCTGGCAGCCTGGTAAGAAACCCCTCCCTCTCCTCTACATCCTCAGGGCTGGAGCCAAAGCTGGGCTGTCTCCCAAATCCTGACCATATCCTTCCAGAGGCCGAGCCAGGCCTGGACATTGTCCCCTCAAACATGAGAAGGCCGAGGTGGGGGTCCAGGGGGTTGGGGAGGGAGGGCCGAGCTTGGTTGTCACGGAGGGGGCAACCCAGGCAGTGGCATGCGGGCGGACGAGGTGGCGCTAGGCCATGGTCTCCGGCTGACCGTGGAACAGTGGCTTTGGTGGTGCAAAGAGCACTGGACTCGGAGTCAGGCTGGGCTGTGTGGGGATTCCGGTGCCAGCCTTAGGCAGTGCCATCACCTGCTTTCAGGAATTTCCCCGGCAGTGGGCAATTAATTGTAGTATCTGACTCATCCATCTGCATAGACGGTCCTGCTGGACAAATATTTACTGCCCCTTCCTGCCTGGCTGGGGGGCAGACCCGGTCAGGCTAGGTGGTGCGGGCTCCCTCTGACCCAGGCCTGGGAGATTTTTGGGATGAAGAGTGCTGGTTAACCCTTAGGGCTAGCTCTGGGCAGGCTGGCCAGCTGGTCAGTTGCACCTGTCCCAGGCTTCGTTCTTCCAGCTTGACAGGGGTGGGGAGGCAGTGTGAGGAGGGGGAGCCCTGGCTCCTCCAGGGATCAAGTTTGAGCTAGGGACCCACCCCAGGTCTAGGGGCCTACTTGGGGGCCTGCTGTCCCCTGCAGGCCCCCCTCCCAGCTCTGGGCCCTCACATTCCCTGGGTAGGGGACATTTGGAGCACTAGGCTCCAGATCCCCAACTCCCACAGCAAAGAGGGTGTGTCCAGCCTATGAGGACAGTGGGCCTGGGCACAGGTGCAGGAGGGGTGAGCACAGACAGGGTGTGTGTGGGGTAAGGGGTGGCCATCTGAGGGCACATGTAAGTGAGGGCAGACTCAGGTTCCTCTTTTGGGTTAAGTATTGCCCTCCAGGAGTGTGTCTGGGGACAGGGTGCTGGGCACTGTGGTCCCCCAGGGCTGAGCCCCTGATACAAGACAGAGGACAGCTTAGTGTCCCTGTCACTTGACCATCCACTGAACCCCGACCCCTGTTGCCTGCTTGGACACCCCTGTTGGGACTCCTGGGACCTTTCTATCCTGGGCCCCCTTCTCCCCTGCCATCTGCCAGCTGGACCCAGCAGCCTCCACTACCCCCCTCTGTAGTCAGCATTGTCCTGGGGCCACCTTGGCACCACAGGTTTCCTTCCTGGCAAACCTGCATGACCGCTTGGCCTGCCTTCCTCTAGGGCCCAGGCGCTGTCGCTGACCTGACGTGGTGGTGACAGGACCAGAGACTTACGCAGCAGCCCCTTGCCCCAGGGACCTCTCAGACCCCTGTCCAGAGCTGGCAGCCTGGTAAGAAACCCCTCCCTCTCCTCTACATCCTCAGGGCTGGAGCCAAAGCTGGGCTGTCTCCCAAATCCTGACCATATCCTTCCAGAGGCCGAGCCAGGCCTGGACATTGTCCCCTCAAACATGAGAAGGCCGAGGTGGGGGTCCAGGGGGTTGGGGAGGGAGGGCCGAGCTTGGTTGTCACGGAGGGGGCAACCCAGGCAGTGGCATGCGGGGGTGCTCAGAGTTGGAGTCCTGTGGAAAGCAGAGAACTGCCCCCCAGCCCCACACCCCTCAGGTCCTACCCCACCCTCTGTGTTCTTGGCTGAAAAATTCCTGGAGGACATTTTCCCAGAAAAAGAGGGAGGTGGCATCTGGGCCTGGATCCCTGGATGGGCCTCCCTCTGCCTCCTGTGGGGGTGGTTAGGTTGAGTTGGCTCTTAGGGAGTGTTTCAGGCCTAACCTGAATTGGGTAGGAGGCCCCAGAGACAGAGCCTTGCCCTCAGGAGTGGGGGGCATCATTCCCCTTTACTAGTCTCCGTGTATATTTAAGTAAAGGCCGCTGGCTTCTCTCCCTGGAGTTGCCTTGCTCTGTAGATCTGTGTTTGTGGAGACCCTCTTTGGTGGATGGGTCAGGGGTGGGGGGGGCGGGGGTGTGCTTTGATTGCACCCTCCCCAACCGCTAGGGCTGATAGGGTTCAGCGGCTTGTATCAGGCCCCTGGACAGCCAGTGAGGGGGAAAGTTGGGGAGCCAGAGAGTCAGGTGGGAGGGACACAGCTGGACCCCAGGCCGTGCTGGGGACATCCTGGGCCCCAGGTGGGGCCTGCCAGGAGACAAGTAGCAGTGCCAGTCACATCTTTGGCTTTGCACGCTCTTGGCCACTCCATGTGGTGACAGGGAGCTGGAGTGACAGGGAACCAAGATCCAGATGACCCAGAAGAAGGGGAGAAGGGTGTGGCTGTGGCTGGAACTGGACCTGCGCCACAGTTGGGCCTCTTCTCTATCCACCCAGTGGGATAGTCTAAGCCCCAGTACCTGCAAGGTTTATGGTACCTCAGCAAGTAGCCAGGTGACAATGAGCCTTCTGGCAGCCACTCCCCAGAAGGATGCAGGATGGTTTGGGAACTCACTAGGAGGAAAGAAGCAGACAGACACTCAGTGGAAACAGTTTCTTTTGGAGCTGGCTCTATAGGGATGTGCTGTAAGGCTGCTGCAGGGCCAGGAATCCCCATGGGGGGTAGGGTCACAGGTATAGGCTCAGGACTGATTAGAATCCCCCGGACCTGTCCTTTTTAGGGCGTATGAACATGGGCAAAGTAGGTAGCTGTGTTAGTTTTCTGTGGCTGTCATAACAAATCATCACAAACTTGGTGGCTTAAACAGCAAACGTATTCCCTCACAGTTCTGGAGACTAGAAGTCGGAAATCAAGGTGTTGGCAGGGCTGCGCTACGTCTGAAGGCTCTAGGGAAGACTATTCCTTTGCTTTTTCCTAGCTTCTGGTGGTTGCTGGCATCCTTGGCACTCCTTGGTTTCCATCTCCATCACCACCCCCCGGGCCTGGGTTGCCGCCTGTGTCTGTGGGTCCCTCCTCACATGGCCTTCCTTTTTTTTTTTTTTTTACGATTTATTTATTTAGGGATGCCTGGGTGGGCTCAGTCAGTTAAGCGTCTGCCTTCAGCTCAGGTCATGATCCCAGGGTCCTTGGATCAAGCCCCACATGGGGCTCCCTGCTCAGCGGGGAGCCTGCTTCTCCCTCTCCCGCTCCCCCTGCTTGTGCTCTCTCTCTCTGTCAAATAAATAAATAAAATCTTAAAAAAAAAAAAAGATCGGGGCGCCTGGGTAGCTGTCGGTTAAGCGTCTACCTTTGGCTCAGGTCGTGATCCCAGGGTCCTGGGATCGAGCCCCATGTCTGGCTCCCTGCTCCACGAGGAGCCTTCTCCCTCTCCCTCTGCCTCTGCTCTGCCTACTTGTGCTCTCTCTAGCTGTCTGTCAAATAAAATCTTTAAAAATTAAATAAATAAATAAATAAATAAAAGATTTATTTATTTATTTGAGAGAGAGAGAGAGAGGAGGGAGGCGCAGAGGGAGAGGGAGAGAGAGTCTCGAGCAGACTCCCCACCGAGCGCAGAGCCCGGCTGGCCTGATCCCACGATCT